AAAAGTTTCAGCCAACAGAGTTGCTACTGTTTTAGCTAATGAGTGGAAGGATGAAAGTGACAAAGTCATGCCTGTCAAGCAATGGATGGAAGAGAGGAGAATTATGCATAAATCCCCAAATTTTAGCCTAATTTATCCAAAACATAAAAATAATTCTTCAATCTTTATAGGACAAGCCTCCAAAAACTTGATGTTAACTTTTATTCCTTAGGCAGAATAATTGTTTTTAAGCTCCTTTAATGAGATTTCTTCAAGTTTTTAGGTCCTTAGATGCAATTTTCCACGAAATTTAAGTATGTCCTTCCTTGTGTAGGCTGAGATGAGCAGGATGAAAGACAAATTAGCCATATCTGAGAGAACAGCAAAGGCAGAGGCACAGTTAAAGGTAAATATTTTAGTCCAACTATAGGTTGTAAAAGTCTCTTAAGCTGTGACATGATTTGATTGTTGTATCTTGCACGGTTTTCTCTGGCTAAAGACGGTTTTAGTTGCAATGATATATCCCTGACATTGTTCTTTTCTTCAGGATAAACTGAAGCTGAGACTAAAGACACTGGAAGAAGGAATGAAGAATGTCTCAAGTTACCCAAACACTGCAATTTCAGGGTCTCCAAAACCAGAAAAGTCTAACATCTTAGGTTTCCTAACAACTGGTGGTGCACTGAGAAAGAGATCCACATCACAACCAAGGGCATCTTCAATTGGAAGTTCTCTCTTTCATCATCATCAGCCAAACATCAAAATCAACACTGAGACTTGTAAAGCAAGATATGGTCCTGCAGAAAATGTGTTCATCAAGAAAGGCATATGGGCATCTTCAAGAAGTAAAGTTGCTGACAGTGGTGAGAAGGAAAATGAGACAGTAATCCAGGTGCACCACCACACGGACATAATGGATTTGAATGTTAATGGCAATAATAATGCTGATGAAAAGCCCAGCAAATGCAGTTGGAGGGGATGATAATGATGTGGTCTCAGGCTTTCTATATGATAAGCTTCAGAAAGAGGTCATCAGCTTGAGAAAGTCTTGTGAAGCTAAAGACAGTAATTTGCAGGCCAAAGATGAAGAAATTAAGGTAGCATCCTCCTTTTTCTCACGTAGGATTGGACTAAATTCACATTTGACTCGTAATTTTGTGAAAGTCTTCCTAGCCTATCAATATGTATGGCATATGATGAATCTTACCCTAAAAATTAGCTGTTGAAGTAGAAAAACCAACTTACTTAAATACCTAATTGAGCAGGTCATACTACTGAATGTGGGACTTAGTATCCATACTATCAAGTCTCCATTTGTATACATGTTGATCTTCTAAATTGTATGACCTATGGATGCTCAGATGCTCATGAAGAAGGTTGAGGCACTGAGCAAGGCCATGGAATTAGAGTGGAAGAAAATAAAAAGAGAAGCAGCTGCAAGGGAGAAAGAAGCTGCAATATCAAAGGCTGATGATAACAAGAAACGAAGAAGCTTGAGTTCATCCAAAAGGTAGTTTTCAGTGTTCCAAAACACAGCTGGTTGGTGTCAAATTTTTATGTATTATTTTCATTTTTTTTTTCCTTGAGACATATCTTGTCATTGTTATACAATTGCAGCAAAGCGACAAAAGACAGATGAATATTCTGGATTTGATTTGGATTTCTTAAGGAGATTGATCTATCAGCGATGTTTTCGGAATTTTATATATACACATACAGTATCAAAATTCAGTGAGGCTATTTCTTGAAATAAAGTTCCATCGAGATTGGTAAAGGGTAGTTTGGGGATGTGGCTATGTACATACATATAAGCGTTGTGTGTTTCTCTCTACATTCAGAATAATCCTTTAGTGCTTGATATTTGTGCTGATGACAACAATGTATCTGTATCTGTAAACATACTGTAACATGACTTAGAGCCATTTGTTTTAATTAAGAATTAATGATTTCTCAATCTGTAATACTGAAGGTGTATAAACAGGCTCTGATTAATGTATCTGAAAAACCAAAAAGATAAAGATGTAAATCTATTGAGTAATGTAGAAGTGAATGGATGAATTCTCACAGTAACATCACCAAAAGCATTAATGCTGCCGGTTAACAGTTGTGCAGCTCAGGAATGGTAGGCAAATGAACGTTGTTTTTGTCCAGGAAACTCTACTTCAGGATTGGAACATCTTTTTCTTTTCACTTAATAAAATTTATAATTGTTCCACTGTCATTACGCTCTTCACTTTCCTTGTCATCTTCTTCTTTCTTTTCTATCATTCCACAGGCAGATGGCATCAAAAATAGTGCTGAAGCTCTGAATTCTGCGTTCACTAGAGGATCCAGAATTTCTAGTTTGGAGACGAGATTACAGAGTGTATGCAATAATTGATAAAAAGTTACATTATATATACATGTCTGTGTGTGTGTGTGTGTAAAACGAACAATATTTCAACATGTTTATAATCAATTTTATAAATATACAAGTAATATATATATATATATATATATATATTTCTTAAGTTTTATTCATTGATTCTTTATCACATAAAAACGATCAATTATCATATCTTATAGCAAAATTTTCAGTAATTTCTAAAACGGAGGGTTAAACTTCTACTTGCCCCTTCAATAGCTGCCATTCATTGCCTCCATAATCAAGCATTCAAGCATTCTCTACAAAAAATGAGTTGTAACATTTCCGCAATGAACTGTAACCTCCCTCCCTATAATTCGTTTAAATTTTTGTAATTCTTCCGTTTAGATTTAAAGCTTTCTATAGGTGAACTTAATACTTCTTCAGTCTTTATATATAACGAATTTTCTAAAACATTTTTTGCCTCTAAATATAAAAGTTGTTAACATATTTTTTAATGAATAAGCCATTATACCTTTATTAAATTGAAAAGGAAAAAAAATACTTTTATTAATTTACTATGAAAAAAAGAGTTATTTTTTATTTACAATAATTAAGGTAAAATTAAAATATTGATATGCTTTTAATTAGATAAATAATCTTTATTCATTCATATGATTTGATTAAAAATTTTATATATAGAAACAAATGAAATATTTTAGTATAAATAGAATTCTAATGTCACATTTTGAAGGAAGCAAGATAAACAATTTCTCTTTCCAAAGGAGTGTTTTCCTCTCTTTCTCGAGTTTCTATATCAGTTTTAGTATGAGAGTAGGTTCCCAGATACGAGAAATGCTTGAAAATTTGTTGGAGTTCGATGATTTTGAAGTATACTAGAACCGTCATTGCCATTTAATTTCAAAACATCAACTTCCAAGCCTTTATTAGCCAAACAGGCATTGCAAACCTTAAACAGGAGTCAGTAGCTAGCGGGTGATGTCATGTGCCGTGGCACAATCATAGTTGCTTGATATGTCATGTCATTCCTGAAGTGTCCAATCAATGACACGCCAACCAACCAGAATATGCCACGTGTCATCCTGCCATGTTAATAGCCCGGCCAGCAAACTTTTGAAAATTACAAATTTCCTCGAGTCATTTGGATATTATATTTTGACCCATAAACTTTCTGAAATTACATTTGAGCCCTAAAAGTTTTCAGAATTTTATTTTGACCCTTATATTTTTCAGGGATTTCATTTTAGCCCCCGATATTTTATATAATTGCATTGTGGCTCTTGAATTTTTTGAAATTGCACTTCTGCCCCACTTTTTTTTTTTTTGAAATTTCCATTCTGCCTATATTTTTTTCTACTCCAAAGGTCCTAACATTGCAAACTAGTCCTAGTGGCTCTAAGCGTTAATTGCGAATCAAGATGTTACATGTCTGTGATCAAAGAATAGAATTTAATCTCTTCCCATCTTCAAGGCAGCAAAGTGTTTTTAATGAAGATCTTTTTCACTTGCATTTCCGTTTTTTCCCCCTTCTTAGAGTTGTTTTATTTCCCTTTTTAAGCTTCCCGTGAACCCCTTATTTTTGAGACCTCCTCTTAGAGCTTGAACTAGTATTGTGCATTTCTAGCTGTTTTTAATGAATTCATATTTGTTTTCTTTAGAGGAAAAAATATGCTCATGGCTAATCAAATAATAGAGCTAATTTATCTTGTTTTAATCAAATCCTTATATATAGTTTGATTCGTTAGACATAGTAATACTTGAATGTTAACATTATTAATGAATGATTAATCAAAATAAAAACACTTTTAAAGTTTATATGAAATTTGATTCAATATTTTCGGTAAAAAAATATAATTTAATCTGATTTAATACAATATTTTATATTTTTATTAATTTTTATAAAAATTCTATATGTATAAAATTTATTCAGAAAGATAATCTAATTATATAATATTGAGTTATGAAAATTTATGTAATTAATTCTAAAGTCATATAATCTCTTTATGAAAAATTTAGGAATTCCAATCTTCACAGATTAATAAATCTAACGGATTAAATTATAAGGCATCGATTAAAGAAAACAATTTTATTTTGAGGAAAGTAGAAGGACTTGGAAATTAATTTTGAAAAAAAAAAATATAATGAAAGATCCCAGAAAGACTTCTGGTATTAAAAAAAATAATTTTATTTGCTAATTTATTAATTCCTATTTGTTAGAGATTGTTTCAAAAAAAATAAATTTCTTATTGATATTCTCCCATTAATTTTCCCATTTATTTATCAAAATTACCGAATGTATACATCAGATATCAGTAAGAAGGAACAAATAAGAAGAAAAATGCAAATATAGGACAAAAGTGTAGCTACATTTATAGAAACGGTTTGATCACACAGATCAAAGACAGAATTATTCCAACCTCATCAATTATTAAATTATTACAACACTCTACTGAATTTCCATCTCAAAAGTTTCTCATATAATCGCAATAATAACTAAAAAGGATAAAAAGAAAGGAAAAAGAAAGAAAGAAAGAAAGAAAGAAAGAAAAGAAGAAACAATTAACGTATAAAAAAAATTAGGTGTATTGAGGCGGTGGCACTGGCATATCCTTAACGATGCCACATTTCAACACAAAATCTGGAAGGTTGTACTCATCTCTTAAAGATTTGTTTTCCGACAAATTGCTAATGTAGAACTGTTGTCCCAAGTAGCGGTTCTCTGCAATCTCCGACCTGAAGTTCCACATTCCTGCATTGTCGAATGTCAACAGTATCGCTGCCCATGACTTTGGAAACACTTGCACTGTGTGCCTGCTCAAAGCATCCAGAAGGTTATAGTTCTTCCTCTTCTCTACACTCCACTTCCCAGGCTCAATCCTGCAAATAATCCAACAATAAGACAAAGAACTTATCACTAGGTACGAGGAATCGTATATAAGTTCAATACGTGAAGAGAACGAAACACTAACGCGACCGCGAAGAAGGAATAGCCATCCAAGTTATAAGACTGGACGCTCTTCTCGTGATTCTCGATGATGATCTCAACGAACTCACGGAATGTGATGTTCATGACATTTGGGGCTTCAATGACATTTTCCAGATTTGCTGGTGGCTGATCAGGCATGATGTTATATTTGAACACCTTATCAGAAATTCCGTAGTATTCTGCAAGCTTCATTGGCGTTTCAGGCTCAACATGAGACACACCATTGATTGCATAGCGAAGCTTCCCTTGTCCCCTACTAACCGAATGAACCAACTTAACTGTACGATTGATCGGAATCTGACCATATTTGTATGAACCTTGAGGGTTAGGTCTAGCTGCACTAGCAGTTAGATTCCATCGGAAAGATCGAAACTGGTTCAGAGACCAAGCCCAACCTACTGGTGCTTCAGGTAGATCTGGTGAAGCTGGTCCTTTTCCATTTTCATAACGAATAATTCCTTTTCCCACAACAAGAGTCTTGGAGAATCGAGTCGAAGCAACAACGTAGTAATCTTTAGGTTCTTTATCAGCTGTCACGAGCACTGTAAGGCATTGACCTACATGGAGATCAAGTGAGTCGTACATGTTTTGAACAACGTGAGATCCTTCCATTTCCACGAGCTTCATGGGATGATTTTGGACTCTGAAGTTGAGTGAGTTCTTAATCCCTACATTGCAGACTCTGTATTTATATGTTTTGCCAGCTTTCATTGTGAATAATGGTTCATCCTTGCCATCACCTTTCGCTGATTTGCCATTGATCAGAACTCCATCTGGTCTCCCAATAGAGCGACCACTGTCCAAGAACTTTCTAAGAGTTGAATGGCTCTTTGTGTGCCAATCACCAATGAGGAAATCAAACTCACCTTCAGGATCTGGGTAAGGGACAGGAATCAACAGACGACTGAACACGCGAATTGGGCCAAACCCGCCGGCGGCACGGTGTAATCCCGTGGTGGGGAAGTAGAAGAAAGTTCCGATCTGGTCCTTGATCTGGAAATGATAGGTGAAGTTTGTGCCAGGTGGGATAGGGCATTGAGCTCCTGGTGTACCATCTTGCCATGAATTCTTCCTGTGTTGAACACCTTGCCAGGTTAAGAGAAATGGCTCGTCAAGCTTGTTGAAGACATTGACAACGAAATTGTTATTCGATGAACCATTAATGAGGGGTCCTGGGAATTTGCCGTTGATGAGAATAACTTGTTGTGGGACTCCCAGAGGAGAGAGAGTACCATAGGTGACTTCCCAAGTATAGAACACGTAAGGATCTTCACCATTAATCACTGAGAAAGATCCAGCCAAGAGGAAAACAAAAAACACGAACATCATCATCTTGGCTCGTGATAACCTACGGACAAAACAATAATTGACCCTCTTTTTTTGGGTTTTTCAATATGTGATTCGAATCACTTTTTCTGGTATAAAAAATGATATGCTTGTTGTATTGCTCCTATATACCCTCTTGCCTTTTTCTAAAGTGGAAGGAGGAGATTAATTCTTCCTGTTCTGAGAATTCGCATTTAGCCTTGAGTATATATACTAGGTTTGTTCTTGTAAAAAGATAGCAACTTTTCTAAACTTAACAGTAAGTTTCAACGACGTGAATCGCTCTCAATTTGAACCACAAATCTAATTTTAGGAAACTGTTAAAACGAAAACTACGCAGACATAAATTAATGAGCATCAGGCTTTGACAGAGGACTTGGTCTCACTTGTTAATTAAATTTAATTAATCTTTTAATTAAGGAAAGACAATAGTGAAAGTCTGAAACAGGCCTTGTAGGGTTATTAGATTTATTAAGTTAGCAAATTGTTCATCAGCTTGATAGCGTTGTTGACCGAAATGTAAACGAAAATTTTGATGACTTTCAGTAGTATTTATGGTGCGTGGGATTTAATTTCATTATTTTATTAAATACATTTTTTAAGATTAGTCTAGCTTGCTTGTATATTATTTAATATTAGGATAGAATATGTAATAATTTTTTATGACAATAATTATTGGGAATTATATGGTGAAAATAAGATAGAATTTTCTTTTGAAATTTTAATAAAATAATTCTGTGTTAAGGATATCTATTTTAAAGTCACTGCAGCCAACATAAATCAAATTATGAACCAAGGTGCAAAGTTAAATATTATATTCTTCATGGCTCCTAAGAAGATAATAATTGTGACTCCCTCCGTTTAAAAATAAAAGGTATTTTTTAAAGAGTTGGCTATTCAAAAATATAAGACATTTTTAATTTTTTTAAGGTGTAATCATACTTTTTTTTTCAAAAGTGCCCCTATTGATAGTGACTTTATATTTATTATAGAGTGTTTAATAAGGGTAAATATGAAAAGATAAGATTAGTTTGAAAGTAGATAACTATCTTATTGAAAGTAAAATTCAATTAAAAATGTCTTATATTTTTAAATGGAGGGAATACACATTATGATATGCATATCCTCTTCCAATTAGTATTCATGCTTATGAATTCCCATGATATATCAGGATATACATTTGGACTTGAATGTGCAAGAATATGGTTCAATTTAATATTACACTGCTGTCAAAAACAACAACAACAACAACAACAAGCCTTTATCCCACTAGGTGGGGTCGGCTACATGGATTGCAAGACGCCATTGTGCTCTATCATTTATTAAGCTTTTAGAAATATTATTAATTAAGAGATCACGTTCAACAACTTCCAAGAGTGTTCTCTTATGCCTTCCTCTACCTCTCTTAATCGGACTCAAAGTTATATGTTCCACTCTTCTCACTGGTGCCTCCCTTGGTCTTCTTTGTACATGCCCAAACCATCTCAACCGATTTTCTACCTCTCTTTGTACACTGCTGTCAAAAGTTGAAAGAAAATATTATATTAAAAATAAATTTAGAGTCTTATATGCTTGTGGACAAATAATTTGGGGATCAATTTACTATTTAATTACTTTATGAAATTAATGCAATAATTTAACAACATATAGTTATACTAATAGATAATAAATATTGAATAATCATGCAACAAAAAATATATAATATTTGTGAGTTACAAATTTCCCCCCACATTATTATTGTTGTATTTATGAAGTTGTTACATTACAATATTTAAAAATACGTGCAATTGTTTACCCAAAAAAAATGTGAAATTGATTGGGTCTAATTTCTAGTGAATGTTATAAAGGTCATGTTGTGGTTTGGATATTTTAAGAGGTTTTTTTTTTTTTTATTCACTCTACCGTTTTCCTTGTTTTTGAAATAGGCATGTTTTCTTTTTAAATTTATTTAAAAAATTTGTGTTTACTATCAAATGATATATATTTGTAATAAAAATATATCCTCAATAACAGGCAATAATTAATTATTTCGATTTTTATTTAATGTTTTTGCATACAAAGTTTAATGTTCCCACCTTCCAGAAGTGCTGCATGGACTGAGTCAAATTTAATGTTTTGCATTAATTGTATTAGTAATAAAGGTTGTTTGTGAACGAAATAAGTTTTCATGTTATAGTTTGTTGGCACCAGCGAGCTCCTCATGATTTGAACTAAAATGTATTTATCCAAGACTGTTTTATTTGAAATAAATCAGTGTAGCTGGGGATGCATATCTGTAAATTTATAATATAATATATATATATATATTATACCCATCATGCTGAGATTCAATTATTACAATTTTAAAATGTGAAATTAATAGGGCCTAATTAGTAAATGTTATAGATCAGCATTCTAGCATTTGATGTGATTTTGACCATCGTATAGATTACCATCTAATCATTGAATACATTTACTTTACAGAAAAAGAAGAACGAGAGTGTAAGGCCAAAGGTGTTGAATTCAGAATTATGTTCTATACATTTAATGGATCTGCCAGAGTTGGAATTTATTTGGAAGGCCCACACACAAATTATAAGCCTCCATAGACTTCAAGAAGTTAAATTGCGGAGATGCGAAAGATTAAGAAGTATCTACACTCTTGTCGCAATTACAAGCCTCCCAAAGTTGAACAAACTTGGAGTAAAAAGCATGCGATCAATGGGAGGGAGTATTTTGTGAAGAGTCACTTCGAAACCTTATTTCTTCTGCTTCTTTCATAGTTTGCTTCCCCAGCTTTGAGAGAATTGGTATATATGATTGCAAAAATGAAAAGGTTATTCTCTTATTCTCTAACATCTCATTGCTCTTCACTAAAAAAATAATTATAAATGATTGCTCTGAACTTGAGTGGGTTGTTCAAGGCTATGAAAGTGAACAAGTTATTGGTAATGATCGGAAACTATTTCTTAAATTGAATAAATTGGATCTCAAGAGGCTGCCAAAGTTGAGAGAGATTTATACAGGCTATGAATTCAATCACGTATCTGGTACTATGAGTATACAAAATTGTCCAAACATATATAACATCCCATTAGAATACAATGCCTCATCAAGTACCGGCCTTCACTCTTTCTAAATATGTAACCAAATATTATTTGAACACACTTTTATTTTTAATCAATGGCATATTTTGTGCATTACAATTTCTATCACTCGGTCAAATACCACACTTTGAAATTGCTTGTTTACGATAATTGCCCTCCCCCAAACTAATAAAAGGTGTTGTTTTACCAGTAAAATTTCCATTTTGATACACACATACACCCCCCCACCCCACTCATTTTTTAAGAGAAATTTGAATCATTCCCAAAAGGTTTTGGTGTTGTATTAATATTACACGTTCAAAAATTATATAATTCAAAATAATTAATTTTTCCATTTACAAATTTTTAACTCAGTATCCTCATCAATATAAATAGTTAGCTCTAGTTTAATCCACATTGTCTGATGACAATTTTAAAAAAATTCATAGAATAAATAAAGCTGTTAGCTTTTATTTTGTCTGTGTACCATGTCGATGTGATAGTTAAGCTGTTAATTTATTATTATTTTTTCAGACTTGGAGATCAAATCTAAAAGCTAGAGGATATAAGAGGGATAACGAGCTTTGGATCTTTTTCATTTACAGTTATGTTTCACCAGGTGGTGTATGTGAAGATGTCTTTGATTTGTGTCAGGCGGTCAGTGTATTGAAAATTATACAAAAACTAAAACAATGCATGAAAGATTGGATTTATCTTTACTTTTTTTTTTTTGAGCGAAATTAGATCTATCTTTACTGAAGTTGTGTTTCCTTGAGATGTGTTGGTGTTATGTAATTAAATTGAACATTGTGCCCAATATAATAGTTGCATGGCTTGTCAAGACTTCTTTATTTTATTTGAAATACTTTCTTGAGTGCAGAACGTACATTCATCACTTCTTAAATTAACTCTTTCGCACCAATTCTTGAACGTGGTGGAGAATCAATAATGTTGAAAGTGAAGACTTTTAACATAGGATTCTTGGACGTGGTGTAGAATCAATGATGTTGAAAGTGAAGACTTTTAACATTATGGAGCCTGTGTTAAAAGTGACTATAACTTGGAGTTAAAAAAGGGGCACGTCCAGCTCATATAAGCCTAAATTTTAAAGCTTGATTTTCTTGAAAATGCTTCCTTTTTTAGATCTAGCCTTTATTTAAAAGGCTCAAGCCCGTTTTAAAAAAAAATAAAAAATAAAATCATAGAATCAAAGTATGAGCTTAAGTCCAAGACATTGTTAGTTGCATCTTCTTCTTTGCCACCCACCAACGCTTGAGCTTGGTTGAATAATCACAGAATCAAAGCTTGAATTTGGCCCCTGTAATGATTTCATTTATTAGTTGCTCTCTAATCGGAGCTTTCATGTGCAACTCTTTAAAGGGTGACTTTGGTCCTGTAATAACATATATTTTATGAGGTGCATAGAATAATTTTAATACAACTCCCCACATTAACGTCAACAGCAAAATATAACATGACCTAGAATTTTTAACAAGCTAAACTAGGCATGTGAACTCCACTACAAACAACACAAGCTTAAACGGATGAAAGGCAACAAAGAGTAACCTTTGGTTGCTTTCGAATGAGAAGCTTCAGACAATCCAGCTTCTCTTCACAGAATTTCCTTAATTGATGATTCCACGGATGCTTCTCCAAAATGGTGTTGAAGCTTGCGTTCTCATCGACTTTAGAAATCATGAGCATGACATCCTCTCAAAAACTGAATTCTCTAAACTCTTATCAGACAGTCAAAATGTAACAGAGCAGCATCTTTATTTTTCTTTTGTGACATAGCACCATATAAAGCGGAAGAAATTAGCAGTGTGGCTCACCCATGGTCAGCTACAATGATATCTGTTTGGTGAAACAGCCATTCAATTGTCCAAGATAAACTTCTTCCTGAAAGATTTGCACAAACAGATTCTTATATGACTTAAATGATGAAGTTCCCGCCTTGGCAAACTTAACTACCTGAATAATGTAAACTCCAAACAACTAAGCAGAGACAGGGGCATAGCAGAGAATCAATCAATCAGATAGCGAATAATCAATTTTAACTAGAAGCAGTTGAGATCAGATTAGAATCAAAGAATTAGATA